GCTGTTCAGGGTCCCCTCAGGAAACACCTCTCAGATAAAGCTTTTTCACTTTCTTTAAAAATCCCCCAATTCTATTCCCTTACTTGGCCCTTGACAGTCTGATAAACTCTGCTGTGCTAAGATATAAGGGTAGATTATGACTTAAAGTAGGTGCAAGATAACACAAAATCGCACAGTGATGAGACAAATTAAGCAGAGGGCACACCGTGAGAGATAATTCTCATCCAATCCCTTCAAAACATACCTACCAATACACAGTTTGTAATAGTAAGAAAGAAAAAAATTGGGGGGCGTGTAGGGATGGGGAGTTATACAAGGAGCTATTTACTTTGCATTTTTCTTCAAGTTGTGGCATTTGGGTTGTGGTTGATTGCTATGACACCAAGAGAAAGCAAGTTAGTTTAGATCGTCTCATTTTTCTGCTTTCCAAATTACGTAGATTGCTCAAGATCTTCACCCTCCCCACATCTGGACTCTAGGAATGAGTCATTTAAAGAGGCACCCCCAAACAGAAGTTTCTGTTCTCTGCAGTTGCTCTAATGTGTACTCTCTACATGGAGTGCCTGTTAGACAGATCGGCAAAGAGAACAGAATCATCTAAAGCAATCATGCAAATTTTCACAGACTTAGGGTCTCAGAGAAATTGGGCCCGGCCAAAAGGACCTCTGGCATCTGCCAGGGAGAAGAACCTTGCCTCTAAGAACATTCTCTCCAGCCTTCCATGTTTCCTTCCATGACAGGCATCCGTGGGGTGACAATTAGGTGTGGTGGGTGGGCATTTCTGTGGGCTGGCAGCCTATTTTAACTTCCAACTGTGGGAGTGAGCTTTAACTCTGTGCTAAAATTAGGGGAATCCAGCAACTCCTGTGGTTATTTCAATCAGTTCCCACTTATTGAGTAGCAGCGGCACAGTTAAGTAATAACATGGTAACCTTGCCAAGGCATAAATGAAATGCTGAGTGGTGCCCAGTTGGATCTGAAATCACTTTAGTGATCTAAGTGGAGAGCCAAACCGACAAAAGGGCTGCTGGCCCCTCTGGGGGTGGAGGGGCTGGGCACACAGAATAGAATCCCTGGAGCGGCTCCTCTGACACTGGGGGGAAGTGTAAGGGAGCGGCCACTCATTGCCTGGCAATCTAAATTTCACTGAAGAAATGCCAAGAGCCCCAGTGGTCGGGAAGGCTTGGTTCGATCTCCCCTCTCAGAGAGGGCATACCGGCTCTGCCAGAGGATGCTGCCATCAGAGCCAGGGCACCCGACGAGATCTTGGCCCCTGGTGCTTGAGTTCACACCGTGGTAATGAATATAATAATGATCTAGATAAGCAGCATCTATGCCACAGTGTGGAGAGCATTGTTCTGGCAGGCTCTACTTTGAGAGGACGATATTCTCTAGCTGAGACAGACAGAGGCCTAGGTGCCAGCTCCCAGGTCAGACAGGCAGCTGAGGTTGAGAGAAGATGAAAAGGAGGAGGAGGGCAGAAGCAGAAGACTTGAAGAAAGGCTCCATGCAGGATGCTTGGAGCAAGCCCCACATCATCCCCACTGGGTTAGGGTTAGAGAGACCTGTGGTGGCAAAGGTCATTGGTAATTACAGATTGATCACTCAAGTTTTTGGATTATGCAATTCACCTTCCCCACTCTTCCAACTGTGTTGGCTGTTTTCCTCTGAATGGTTAAGCTGACCCAAGTTCAAGTCCAACCCACACTCCAAGGGCAGGGTTCACACAAGGGCAGGAATGCCAAGAGGCAGGGTCATTGGTGGCCTTCTCAGAAGTCTGCCTACCACATTCGTCATGCTCGTTTAGCCTATCCAAAAAGGGTGTAGAGACAGAATGAACGGCAGAAAAGAAAGAAAAAGGAAATCCACCTATTGCACTGCATGTCTGACAGTGGCTGCCAAACCTGGCTGCACTCACGATTACCTAGGAGCTTTGAAAATAGATTGATACCTGGACCCCACCTTAGATATTCTAATTTAATTGATCTCAGGTGGGTCCTGGGCATCAGTATTTCTAAATCTCCCCGTGCAATTCCAGTGAGCAGCAAGCTTGGCAAACACTGACTTAGTCTTTCTAGCAAAGGTTAGCTAAGGAAGGAGATTGCAGCTTTGACTAAAAGAAAGCATGGGCGTAAACTCTGAGGGCTTTCCAGGTGGAAAGGCATGTTAAAGGTCACCGGATGGATGCCTCTCCTCCCCTAGCTGAGCGTTGACTCACCTCCATAACATCCCCAACAAGGAGAGGTGCCTCGACCTCTGCAGCCCCCTCCCGCCCCCATATGCACGCGAGGCCAGGCCGCTCACAGAGGGACCCGGCCGACTGCTCAAAGGTTACCTTATGTTGAACTGATTTCAATGATCTCTTCTATTCTTATTCCTACCTTTTGAGTTTTAGTAGAAAGGCACAAAGAAAATTCCACATAAAGTTGTTTAAAAAAAAAAATCTAAGCACCAGCTGTGCTCCTGGATTGAAGGTTTGGCTCTGTTACACCTTCAAACAACGAGGAGGTCTGCTGAAGCCAGAGGGACGGGTCCCAGCAGGCAGGAAGCTCCTCTCCTTTCTCTGCCCCCAGAAACGCGCCTGCCCTGTGTCCTCCCCTCTACACCACAGCCTCTTTCCTCTCCTAACAGTACTTAGTGTGCTACTTTGACTTTTGTTTTAAAAATCACCTCTATCTTAAAATTGGGGCTCTACAAGAAAGTAGCTTTTGTATCATTAATTAAAGAATGTTTTCATGCAACAAATATATATTAGAAGCCTGTTCTGTTCCAAGCAGTGCCAGGTTCCAGAGACTATCACGGTGGAGCAAAGACAGCCACAGTTCCCTCCTCACGGGAGCCTTAGCTAAATAATCACATGAACACATGTCAAGTGATAGCTGTGCCCCACAGTGCGCAGGACACGCAGCTGGTGATTTGAGGGCATGTCATGGGGCCCGACTTTGCCTGGTGTCAGCGAAGCCTTTCCTCGAAGAGCTGGGGCTTGAGCTGAGACGGGAGGGGTGGGGAGGGGTTAACTACCCAGAGGGGAGGCCGGAGCATGGTCCAGGCAGAGAGAGCAGGGCTGGCAGGGAACTCGCGTGTGGGAGAAGTTGTGAGAAGAGTTGTTTGGCTGAGGCCCACGGCAAGGGAGAATGGGCTGAGGATGGGGTAGAGGCCATGGTAAAGAGCATTACAACCCCGAGAACAATAGAAAGCCATAGAAATGTTTACCAGGCAGAGTGAAATTTAGAGATGTTAGAAATAGCCTTCAGGCCACGCTGTGCTGTGGGTGCTGGCAGGCCTCGGACACCACTCAGGTCCCTGTGTCGTCATTCTTGCCAACCATGGAGAGGGGCACCCCCTGTCCCTTCTCTGCCACCTTCCGCTGGCCCTTGCAGCTGCCCTGGCCCCCAACAAGAGCCAGATGATACGTAACTCTGACATCTGTGTTTTGAACACTGCCCTCATAATGAAGTTTCCTGGTTTGGGGAAGCATTGTTCAGAAAAATCTTGCAAGCAGCTAGATTTTCTTCCATTAAAATGTGATGCAAGTAAACAAGATTTCTGTAAAGATCATTTAACACGTGCTTCACACAGATGTCCTTTGTATTCTAGAAGGGTGTTCAGGTCCCAGTGTGCCCACTTTGTAGTATCCCCATCCCTGTAAAAAAAAAGGAGTGATATCAGATGTGGTGGTTGGCGACCACACTGATAGAGACTATAAATTTCATCCTGGGAAGAATAAAAGGAAGATTTTTACATACTGGCACTGAAAAGAGGGGTGAAAGGAAAAAGAGATGCTGCAGGTGGCCTGTGACCAGTGCTGTGGCAATTTCCGTACCCAGCATAGACATCCTCTGGACCACAGCTGCAGACAGCTGGGTAAGAGGGACTAGCTGTGACCGGGCTGGCTCCGAACACAGGGTGACTGAAGTAGAACC